CACAGATGCGTGCTGGGCTGGTTCAGTCTGCTTTAGCCCTAATATACTTGCTTCTTCCTAACAATAGCAGAGCAAGACTGACAATAATAATTAAAAAAAGAGAATAAGGAAAATGTAGTCAGAGGCCATTCTGAATGCATTCATATTCTCAGTGTGTATGAGGAAGGATGCCTGTAATTAAGAGGGGAGAAAAGATTATATCATGGAGATATTGATACCGCTAACTGAGGAGCCAGATCTATTGTTACAGACTCACTCTGGGTGCAGTCAGAGCTCTGATCTTAAGACCTTTCCCTTTCTCTACTGAAACCCTTGTTATCTAGGTCAGGGAAATATGCCTCCTTTGAATGAGAGAAACAATAGAGAATAGAAAAAAGTGTAGTTCTTCCTACCCAGATCTCAGAGACTGAGGTAGCTCAAGGTAGAAGCACCTGACTCAGATCCCTTCTTTCAGCATAGGACAGTGACAGGCTCTTTAGCAACCTGAAATGACTCTCAAATAGAATAATAATACCTAACATTTAGCACTTATCATAGTGACAGGGATTAGTCTAAGATATATACACATATATCTTTTTTGTTTTGTTTTGTTTTATTTCCTGAGATGGAGTCTCTGTCACCTAGGCTGGAGTACAGTGGTGTGATCTCTGCTCACTGCGACCTCTGCCCCCCAGGTTGAAGCAATTCTCTGCCTCAGCCTCTTGAGTAGCCGGGATTACAGGTGCCTGCCAGCACACCTGGCTAATTTTTGTATTTTTAGTAGAGACGGTGTTTCACCATGTTGGTCGAGCTGGTCTTGAACTCCTGACCTTAGGTAATCCCCCTGACTCGGCCTCCCAAAGTGCTGGGATTACAGGCATGGCCCACCACGCCTGGCCAGTATATACGTGTGTGTGTGTGTGTGTGTGTGTGTGTGTGTGTGTGTGTGTGTGTGTGTGTGTGTGTGTGTGTATGTGTGTACTCATTTAATCATCAAATAGCCCTAGGCAGTTAATACTTTTTTTGTTGTTTTTTTTGAGATTAAGTCTCACTCTGTAGCCCAGGCGAGAGTGCAGTGGCATAACCTTGGCTCATTGCAACCTTCACCTCCCAGGTTCAAGCGATTCTGCTGTCTCAGCCTCCCAAGTAGCTGGGACTACAGGCGCCTGCCACCATGCCCAGCTAATTTTTGCATTTTTAGTAGAGACAAGGTTTCACCATATTGGTCAGGCTGGTATAAATACTATTATTAAACTCCCTTTTTTTTTTTTTTGAGACAGAGTTTCGCTCTTGTTGTCCAGGAGTGCAATGGTGCAATCTCTACTCACTGCAACCTCCACTTCCCAGGTTTAAGCAACTCTCCTGTCTCAGCCTTCCAAGTAGCTGGGATTACAGGTGCTTGCTACCACACCCGGCTAATTTTGTACTTTTTAGTAGAGATGGGTTTTCACTATGTTGGCCAGGCTGGTTCTAAACTCCTGACCACAGGTGATCCACCTGCCTTGGCCTCTCAAAGTGCTGGGATTACAGGTGTGAGCCACGGTGCCTGGCCTAAACTCTCTTTGGAAAGAGAAACTGAGGCCTAAAAGAAGTTAAAATAACTTGCCCAAGATCATATAGCTGAAGTATCAGTGTTGGGATTTTGAACCCATTTTGGCTCCGGAATCCAGGCTCTGAAATATTAGAACACACCATCGCTGAGTGGAGCCCTGTCTTTTCTCAAACAAGGTTATCTGAACCACAGAACACAGAAAGTGATTAGAGTAACTATTTTTTTTTTTCTTTTTTGGAGTAACTATTTTCTTAATTCTCTTCAAGATGACATATAGCTAGTGCTATGCATAGGAGAGTTGCTACTTCATTAGGAACAGTTGAGGCCCTAGAGTATTAGCGCTTAATTCTTTCAGAAATCCAGTTGAAGAAGACTAAAGGGGCCGAAGTTTACAAATTTCAGATTTGTATAGTACTGTCCTGGAAATAATTTCCTATTGGCTTGTTTTGGAACCAATTTTGGTTTTTGAACAAAGGACCAAACCTTATTCATTCTTTGTTCTGGAATAGAGCCTATGTCAGCAATAATTTCTTACCAGTAACAATTGAGAAGAGTAACAGGCTGGGATATAATAGTGGTCACTAAATTTTGCAAAGCTGGGTTGACCTTCCTTAAACAAATCATCATGTCAGGCCACTATGCAATTTGTAAAAGCAGTCACTGCTTTTCCCCCTTCCCTTTGTTTCTCCTTATTTCTCCAAAGGTTCAAAATCTCGTAGGTCACTGGACAGATACCCAGTTATTTAATTGTAGACCCTTTTGGTATAGTTTAAGAGGTTACTGATAGACATTCTTCCCCTTCCAGTAACAAATTATGGAAGGCCCTGCCCTGCTTTTACCTGACCTTATAATGGACTTGTTTATAAATTTCTTTTTTTTTCTTTTTTCTTTTTTCTTTTTTTTTCAATTTTTTTTTTTTTTAAAGATGGGGTTTCACCATGATGGCCAGGCTGGTCTTGAACTCCTGACCTCAGGTGATCCACCCACCTTGGCCTCCCAAAGTGCTAGGATTACAGGTGTGAGCCACCACGCCCGGCCCTGTTTATAAATCTCTAGGTTGAGCCAAAATAATGTGGAGTTATTATAACAGATTTCCCCCATAGCTTATTAAATAATACTAAATATGTATTGCTGGCACTGCCTCCTCCACATCATATGGAGACATTTGTAGGAACATAATAGCAGGTTACACAGTAATCTGTTCTTGAGTTGCTGCAGAGGTAGATATTCAATATGTATGAGGAAGAAAGATGCTAGTGAGAGGGCAGAATGAGAAAAACAATTTTGACCTGAAATTAGCAGAACTAAATTTAGTCCTATTTTGCCCTACCCTGTTATATTACCTTAAGAAAGGTTTTCTGCTTTTTAAAGTGATTCTTAATTTGTTTTAAAAAATAGAGAATTTAATAATATCTCCCCCTTAGATCTACCCACATCACATGATTAATTGATTGATTTAAAAAGTTATTGGTTATATGTTATATGCCAGTACTGTCCTAGTTGTTGGGAGCATACACAGAATAAAAGGACAAAAATTTATGTCCTCATATTCTCAAGATTGGAGTCAGACAATAAGTAAAATATATAGTATGACAGTAATAAGTGCTATAGAGAAAGAGAAAAAAATAAACATGTAAGAGTTGGGGGTTTGGGGAAGGGAGGGTGGAGCTTGCAATTTTAAAGAGGGTGATCAGGAAGTACTCTATTGAGAAGGTAGTATTTGGATAAAACCCCACAAGAAATGAGTGATTGAGCCATACATATCTAGAGGAAGAATGATCCAGGCGTAGAACTCAAATGTGAAGGCCCTGAGTTTAGAACATACATGGTAGGTTTGGCCCATAATGAGGGGCCAACTGGTGTAGAGTGAACCAGAAGTAGAATAGTATGGCTGGGCATGGTGGCTCAAGCCTGTTATCCCAGTCCTTGGGGAGGCCGAGGCAGGTAGATCACCTGAGGTCAGGGATTCGAGACCAGCCTGGCCAACATAGTGAAACCCTGTCTCTACTAAAAATTCAAAAATTAGCCAGCCATGGCGGCAGGTGCCTGTAGTCCCAGCTACTCAGGAGGCTGAGGCAGGAGAATTAACCTGAACTCAGGAGGTAGACATTGCAGTGAGCCGGGATTGCACCATTGCACTTCAGCCTGGGCAATAGCAAGACTCTGTCTTAAAAATAAATAAATAAAATTCAGCGTGATACTTTTTACATAAAAAATACTAATAAGGCTGGGCAAAGTGACTCATGTCTGTAATCCCAGCACTTTTAGAGACCTAGGTGAGAGGATTGCGTGAGTCCAGGAGCTTGAGACTAGCCTGGACAACATGGTGAGACCCCATCTCTTACAAAACAATTAAAAAGTTAGCGACGTGGTGGTGCCTGCCTGTAGTCCCATTTATTCAGGAGGCTGAGGCAGGAGGTTAAGGCTGCAGTGAGCCATGTTCATGCCACTGCTCTCCATTCTGGGTGACAAAGCAAGACCCTGTTCAAAAAAAAAGCACACAAAAAACCCAAACAAAAAACCCCACAAATATACACAAAAGTATCCTATGCATTATTTAGGGATATATATGTAAAACTATTAAAAATGGAAGATTATACAACAAATTTATGATATGAGTAGCTGGTAGAGAGTAGGGCAGTCTTAAATAGGACTTTAGCATTATCTGTAGATTAAGGTAAATATGATATAATGTTTATTTCTGGGTATTACACACACAGATTTTTGGTATATTATTCTTTGTACTTTTTGGTAGTTTTATATTAGCTGAAAATTTTAAAAGAAAGGGGGTCAAGATTTGTAGGATGAACCCCCAGATAATTTGTCGGTACATTCACATGTAATTTTTTTCTTTTTTTTTTTTTTTTTTGAGACGGAGTTTCGCTCTTGTTACCCAGGCTGGAGTGCAATGGCGCGATCTCGGCTCACCGCAACCTCCGCCTCCCGGGTTCAGGCAATTCTCCTGCCCCAGCCTCCTGAGTCACTGGGATTACAGGCACACGCCACCATGCCCAGCTAATTTTTTTGTATTTTTAGTAGAGACGGGGTTTCACCATGTTGACCAGGATGGTCTCGATCTCTTGACCTCGTGATCCACCTGCCTCGGCCTCCCAAAGTGCTGGGATTACAGGCTTAATTTTTTTCTTTTTACCTAACCATCTACTTCTGTATGTATTGGAGGAAAGGAAATGAGTAACTGCATTACATTAATTCATGACAGTGGTTTCTCCTAATGTGTCCTTGGCATCACACTCAGATGAAGGAGTGAGGATCTTTATTAGCACAGATCATGCACTTCATTCTGATTCTTGATTTTATTTTTAATCACTAACTGCAAGCATATCAACCCATGGGAAGCACATTTGGTTTCATAGCTGTCATCATGGAGGTGCTAGCATGACAGACTAGGATGTATAGAAGTTTAATAACAGCATTGCACTTTTTCTCTTGTCTAACCTCTTCCCTACAGGGAATCTTTAACCAGTTTCAGTGTAGTAGTGAAAAAGTGCTTCCATCTGACACTCTCCGCAGTGCTCTGGCAAAGACTTTCCAGGATGAACAACGTTTCCAGCTGGGGATTATGGATGATGCTGCAGAGTGCTTTGTAAGTGCTGGCCTCCAGCCCTCTTTGATATGGGGTGGGACTACTGATGGTCCCCATCAGGGCCCGGCCTATTGGCTACTTTATGGTGGAATTTACTGTTACACCCATTTCTACCGTTAGAACTAGGAGTTTCTTTGATTTTTCAGGATCTAAAATGTCTCTGTTATAGCAGTGTGTTATTATTTTTCCTTTAGGCAGCTCGTGGTTTTGTGCTTATCATTGAATAAAACATCAGCTCTCACCTTCAGACGATCCAAGGCTCATTAAAATACAAATTGTTGGTCTGTACCCTCAGAGCTCCTGATTCAGTAGACCTGGTGGAAGGGACCTAGAACATCTGTATTTAACAGGTTCCTAAGTGATGCTAATACTGATGCTGCTGGTCTGGGGACCACACACTCCTCCATTTCTAAAGATAATTAATCAGGGAATAACTGAGTCCCTAACATAAGTGTGATGTGCTATATAGATAGCTACGTTGCCCCCAGTGCTCATTGCTCTTCTGAACTCTGTGTTCTATCCATCAACCTTCAAAAGACTCTCTATACATCCATTCAGAAAATTTGAGTCCAGGTGCGGTGGCTCACGCCTGTAACCCCAGCACTTTGGAAGGCTGAGATGGGTAGATCACAAGGTCAGGGGTTCAAGAGCAGCCTGGCCAACATAGTGAAACTCTGTCTCTACTAAAAATACAAAAATTAGCCAGGCGTGGTGGCAGGCGCCTGTATTCCCAGCTACTTGGGAGGCTAAGGTGGGAGAATCACTTGAACCTGGGCAGCGGAGGTTGCAGTGAGCCGAGGTTGCGCCACTGTGCTATAGCCTGGGTGACACAGTGAGACTTTGTCTCAAAAAAAAAAAAAAAAAAAAAGAAAAGAAAATTTGAGAGTGATACATACCTCATCACAAGGTAAAATGTGGGCCCAAATCAGAGGTACTCTTGAGGAACTGGATCACTGTTATATTGCTGGTGGGAATGTAAAATGATACAGCTACTCTGGAAAACAGTTTGGCAGTTTCTTAAAAAGCTAGACAGGCTCATGCCTGTAATCCCAGCACTTTGGGAGGCCAAGGTGGACCAATGATGAAGTCAGGAGTTTAAGACCAGCCTGACTAACATGGTGACACCTCGTCTCTACTAAAAATACAAAAATTAGCTGGTCATGGTGGCACGCGCCTGTAATCCCAGCTACTCAGGAGGCTGAGGCAGGAGAATAGCTTGAACCTGGGAGGCAGAGGTTGTGGTGAGCCAAGATTGCACCACTGCACTCCAGCCTGGGAGACAGAGCGAGATTCAGTCTCTAAGAAAAAAGCTAGACATGTAAACTACCATATGATCTAGCAATTACATTCCTGGACATGTATATCACAGAAATGAAAACTTACATTAAAACAAAACCTGTTTATGAATGTTCATAGAAGCTGGATTCATAATAGTAAAATACTAGAAACAACCCAAATGTCCTTCAGTGAGTAGACGGTTAAACAAATGATGATACTTCTATATCATGAAGAACTATGCAGCAGTACAAAATATTAAGTATTTTATAAAAATAAAAAGAAACTATTGATTTACACAACTTGAACAGATCTCAAGGGAATTATGCTAAGTGAAAAATGCAATATCAAAAGGTTATGTGCTGGCCAGGCCCAGTGACTCGCTCCTGTAATCCCAGCACTTTGGGAAGCCAAGGTGGGCAGATCACTTGAGGTCAGGAGTTTGAGACCAGCCTGGTCAACATGGTGAAATGCTGTCTTTACTAAAAATACAAAACTTAGCCAGACGTGGTGGTGCACACCTGTAATCCCAGCTACCCGGGAGGCTGAGGCATGAGAATCGCTTAAACCTGGGAGGTGGAGGTTGCAGTGATCTGAGATTGCTCTACTGCATTCCTGCCTGGGTGACAGAGCCAGACTCTGTCTCAAAAAAAAAAAAAAAAAAAGGTTATGTGCTATATGATCCCATTTATATACTATTCTTGAAATAAAATGATGGAGACGAGAGAAGACATTAGTGATTACTACAGGTTAGAATTAGGATTGGACGGATAAGGCTCTAAATGGGTAGCATGAGGGAGCCTTGTGGTGATGCAACTGGTCTATATCTTGATAAAATGGCATAGAGCTTATACATACACACACACGAATGAATATGAAACTGGTGAAATCTGAATAAGCTCTGGATTCTATCAATGTCCATTTCCTGGTTTTGATATTGTACTATAGTTATATAAGATGTTAATATTGGAGGAAGCTGGGGGAAGAATACAGGGGGTCTCCTGTACATTTTTGAAACTTGCTATGAATTTATAATTATTTCAAACTAAAAAGTTAAAAAAATCAAATTATTCCTACCTTCCAGAAGGGTTGCTTTTTCTCTGGGTAAGCTGCTTACCAATTTATGTACTTGTCTGTTAAGTATTGTTGGTGTACTGCTTTTGTTCTTTCCCTATCAGGAAAACCTCCTGATGAGAATTCACTTCCACATTGCTGATGAAACCAAAGAGGATATATGTACTGCCCAACACTGCATTTCTCATCAGAAGTTTGCAATGACATTGTTTGAACAGGTGAACTCTTATCTCCATCTTTCGTTAGACCTTTTCTTCAAGAACGCTTTATCCTGGGCTGTGGGGTGTTAACTGGGTGCCACAACAGTTCCTGATTATGGTTGCTTGTTTTTGTCTTTTTCTCTTCGGCTCAGTGTGTATGTACTAGCTGTGGTGCCACTTCTGATCCACTCCCTTTCATCCAGATGGTACATTATATCTCCACCACTTCCCTCTGGTGAGTCTTATAGGATTTTCTGTTGTGCCTTTAGGTATTCCTCTATTTGTTTGGACTCTTTTTTTTTTTTTTTTTTGAGATGGAGTCTTGCCCTGTTGCCCAGGCTGGAGAACAGTGGTGGTACAGTCTTGGCTCACTGCAACTTCCACTTCCCATGTCAAATGATTCTCCTGCCTCTGTCTCAGCTACTTCCACAAATAGTACACGCCCTGCTAATTTTTTTTTTTTTTTTTTTTTAGTAGAGATGGGGTTTTACCATGTTGATTAGACTGGTCTTGAACTCCTGACCTCAAATGATTTGCCTGACTTGGCCTCCCAAAGTGCTGAGATTACAGGCATGAGTCACTGCTCCCGGCCTATTGGACTTTAATTGAAGGCATTCAAATAGTTTTATATCCTAACCAGGCACTGTGGCTCATGCCTATAATTCCAGCATTTTGGGAGGCTCAGGTGGGAAGATCACTTGAGGCCAAGAGTTTGAGACCAGCCTGGCCAACATGACAAAACCCTTTCTCTACTAAAAATGTCAAAAATTAGTCAGGCGTGGTGGCACGTGCCTGTAATCACAGCTACTCTGGAAGCTGAGGTATGAGAATTCCTTGAATCCAGGAGGCAGAGGTTGCAGTGAGCTGAGATTGAGCTCCTGCACTCCAGCCTAGGTGACAGAGCGAGACTCTGTCTCAAAAAAACCACCACCACCACCAACAAACACAAATAGTTTTATACCCTTATTGCTGAGTCTGTGCCATATTGTAGGAACGCGGAACAGTAATTTAAAAATAACTTTTGTTCTTCTTCTTTCATCTCCCACCCTTTCCCTTTTCTTAGGCTCAGTACTGGCCAGTAAAATGGGAGGAGGAATGGGGATTCTATGAGCTTTGGATTTTGGGACAGGTAGAAGCTCTCAGTATGTCTGTGGGACACTGAGCCTGGTCAGGGGCTTTGGTATAGTGAGCAGAGGAAGAAAGTAAAATGTGTGAGTAAGGAATTTACATGAATGTTTGATTTAGCAGTAGCTATTTACAAACTGTCATTCCCCCTTTTATTCCCCATCTTGAAGCAATCAGGCTATTTGTATGCTGGAAAGACGAGAGAAACCTTCACCAAGCATGTTTGGTGAGCTGCTACAGAATGCCAGCACCATGGGGGATCTGCGGAACTGTCCAGTGAGTTAAATCAGGAGTGGGGTTTGGAGTGGGAAAGGGAACCATTGATCAGTGGAAATGAGGCAAAGCCAGTGGGAAACAAGTTTAACTAGCCTTATATATGTATTTCAGAGCAACTGTGGAGAGAGGATCCGGATTCGCCGTGTATTGATGAATGCTCCACAGATTATCACGATTGGGCTTGTATGGGACTCAGACCACTCAGACTTAGCAGAAGATGTTATCCATAGCCTGGGAACCTGCCTTAAGCTGGGTGATGTGCGTGTTAGTTATCTTTATCTCTGACTTTGAGTTTTTGTGTCTTGGTATTGCTTAAGAGCAGTGAGCACTAGACAAATAGGTATGTCCTAGATGACAAGTATTATGTTTTGGACAGATAAACTTGTTTATTTGTGTACAAATACATGTGCATGCAGATATGTGCCCATATACCTCCTTTTATAGGTGGCAAAGATTTTTTAAGAAGAAATGGGATGTCTTGGCCTTGAAAGACAGGATAGGCAGAGCTTAGCTACTGATAAAAACAAATCAGTAATTCATAAAGTTATTGTATGTTCCATTCATTGTTAGTTTATGTGAGTATAGAGTAAGGAAGGGTATTCAACCATGGGAGGCAGTAAGGTCAAAAGAGGGGGCATTTCTGACTAGAACTGCTATGGTAGGTAAAAGAGTTAAAAGTTGGTGACCTGAGCCCAAAAATATGAAATTCACAGTGTGAAACCAGTGTCTGTTGAGAAGGTAATGAAGCAGCTTGGAAGATAATTTAGTAGCTTAGTGGTTTTCTGTACATCTTATTCAGGGAAATACACAGGGAAAAGGCTTCAGACCTGGGTTCCTACCTTGTCATCTCCATGCCCTAGTATAGGTACAGCTAGGATTTTCCTTCAGTTCAAGAGACACACTAGGAGGCTGGGCACGGTGGCTCACGCTTGTAATTCCAGCACTTCGGGAGGCCAAGGTGGGTGGATCATGAGGTCAAGAGTTCAAGACCAGCCTGGCCAACACAGTGAAACCCTGTTTCTACTAAAAATACAAAAATTAGCTGGGTGTGGTGGCAGGCACCTGTAATCCCAGCTACTTGGGAGGCTGAGGCAGGAGAATCGCTTGAACCGGGGAGGTGAGGGTTGCAGTGAGCCAAGATTGAGTCACTACACTCTAGCCTGGGTGACAGAGCCAGACTCTGTCTCAAAAGAAGAGACACACTGGTAACTCTTTGATTTTCTTTCTCCTGGTTTTTTCCCTGGGATAATCCTGTGACTAAAGAGAACCTTTGTTATTGTTTTTTAATGTCATTAAACCACAATTGAGAATAAATGGACTTTCTGGGATCTTATTTTAGGTCTTCTTCCCAAGGAATCTTACCTGAATAGGCTGTGCACAATAAAATCTCCATTTTTTGCCAGCACCTACCTGTAATCCAGCTACTCAGAAGGCTGAGGTGGGGGTATCGCTTATGGAAGTCAAGGCTGTAGTGTGCAATGATCCTGCCTGTGAATAGCCATTATACTGTAGCCCAGGCAGCATAGCAAGATACTGTCTCTTAAAAACAAAAAGCAATTATTTCTTCTAAATTTCTGTCACCTACATATTCTGTATTGTTCTTTTTTTTTTTTTTTTTTATCACTACCTTGAAGCTCAAGGTTTAATTTTCATGATTATTTTTTCAACCAAATAAGTTACTCAAGGCCAGAATCCTCAATTTTTTTTTTCTTCTTAAATATGTCTCTTAGCACTCAGGACTGTGTTGGGCACCTAGGAATTGAAATGCTGATAGCCAGCATGACTGCATTGCTCCCTATATAGGTTATTAACAAGAAAATTTTACTTGTGGGGTCAGCTGATAAAAAAAAGCTGTTGAAACTAGACAGGTAGACAGAGGGTTTTCTTTTCTTTTCTTTTCTTTTTTGAGACAGAGTCTCACTCTGTCACCCAGGCTGGAGTGCAGTGGTGCAATCTCAGCTCACTGCAAGCTCTGCCTCCTGAGTTCAAGCGATTCTCAGGCCTTAGCCTCCTGAGTAGCTGGGATTACAGGCACCCGCTACTACGCCCGTCTAATTTTTTTGTAATTTTAGTAGAGATGGGATTTCATGATGTTGGTCCGGCTGGTCTTGAACTCCTGACCTCAGGCAATCTGCCCGCCTGGGCCTCCCAAAGTGCTAAGATTACAGGTGTGAGGCACTGCCCCCAGCTGGGTTTGTTTTTGTTTTTGTCTTCTTTTAAATCCAACTTTCCTGACTCCTCTATGACAGGCCCCAGTAAGAAAATTATTGAGCCGGGCACGGTGGCTCACGCCTGTAATCCCAGCACTTTGGGAGGCCGAGGCGGGTGGATCACGAGGTCAAGAGATCGAGACCATCCTGGTCAACATGGTGAAACCCCGTTTCTACTAAAAATACAAAAATTAGCTGGGCATGGTGGCGCATGCCTGTAATCCCAGCTACTCAGGAGGCTGAGGCAGGAGAATTGCCTGAACCCAGGAGGCGGAGGCTGCGGTGAGCCGAGATCGCGCCATTGCACTCCAGCCTGGGTAACAAGAGCGAAACTCCGTCTCAAAAAAAAAAAAAAAGAAAATTATTGAAAGGTATGAAGAAAGTTCATCACCATACCAGTTTATTGGCCATTATCTGTCTTGCTTTCCCTTACTTTCTGCCTTTTTAGGTTAATTTTTTTCTTTTCTTGAGACAGGGCCTTGCTCTGTCGCCCAGGCTGGAGTATAGTGGCACAAACATGGCTCACTGTAACCTTGACCTCTTGGGCTCAAGTGATCCTCCTGCCTCAGCCTTCTGAGTAGCTGGGGCTACAGGTGGACACTACCATGCCCAGGTAATTTTTTATTTTTTGTGGAGACAGGGTCTGGCTTTGTTGCCCAGGCTGGCCCTGAACTGCTGGGCTCAAAGGATCCTCTTGCCTTGGCCTCCTGAAGTGCTGGGGTTACAGCATTAGCCACCATGCCCGGTCAGTTTTTTTTTTTTTTAATTAAAAAAATTATTTTTTTAGAAACAGGTTCTTGATTTGTCCCAGGTTGGAGTGGAGTATGGCACAAGTATGGCACTGCAGCTTCGAACTCCTGGGCTCAAAGGATCCTCCCACCTCAGCCTCCCGAGCAGCTAAGACTTTAAGTGTGCACTTATCATACCTGACTAATTACAAAAAATTTTTTTGTAAAGATAGGGTTTTTTTGTATTTTGAGATGGAGTCTTACTCTGTCACCCAGACTGAAGTGCAGTGTCATGATCTCTGTTCACTGCAACCTCTGCCTCCTGTGTTCAAGTGATTCTCCTGCCTCAGTCTCCTGAATAGCTGGGATTACAGGGATGCACCACCACGCCCCACTGATTTTTTTTTTTTTTTTGAGACGGAGTTTCGCTCTTGTTACCCAGGCTGGAGTGCAATGGCGTGATCTTGGCTCACAGCAACCTCTGCCTCCCGGGTTCAGGCAATTCTCCTGCCCCAGCCTCCTGAGTTGCTGGGATTACAGGCACGCGCCACCATGCCCAGCTAATTTTTTTTAGTAGAGATGGGGTTTCACCATGTTGACCAGGATGGTCTCGATCTCTTGACCTCGTGATCCACCCGCCTCGGCCTCCGACAGTGCTGGGATTACAGGCTTGAGCCACCGCGCCCGGCCGATTTTTGTATTTTTAGTAGAGATGGGGTTTCACTGTGTTGACCAGACTCGTCTCACACTCCTGACCTCAAGAGATTTGCTCTCCTCAGCCTCCCAAAGTGTAGGGATTATAGACATGAGCCACATACTGGGCCTAAAGATAGTCTTGTCATCTAGTCTAGGCTGTTGTCGAACTCCTGGCCTCCAACAGTCTTCTTACTTTGTTCTCACAAAGTGCTGAGGTTAATTTCTGATGATAATCTAAACTAACAAAAATCTTAGACTGAAGGGAAGAGAAGTCAGTACCTTACTTAAGAAATATCAGTGGAGCCTCCTGAGAGATGACGTGGGATGGTTGAATATGTGACTATGCTTCTTTTCTCTTCTTTCCCCACAGCTGTTTTTCAGAGTGACAGATGACCGGGCCAAGCAATCTGAACTGTACTTAGTCGGAATGATTTGTTACTATGGCAAACATTATTCTACGTTCTTTTTTCAAACCAAGATCCGCAAATGGATGTACTTTGATGATGCTCATGTCAAGGAGGTAGGAACAGTAAACCCCTTTTCGAAGCATTTGGTGACTACAACAATAACAGAAAAAAAAACAAGAATAATTATTTGTCTTTAGTGTTTCATTTTCCATAATTTTGAATGGAACCTCCCCACATTTCCATAAAACATATATATATATATATATATATATATATATGTGTGTGTATATTTGTTTATTTTTTTTACCTTTCATCCATCATGAGCTTTTTTTTTTTTTTTTTGAGACAGAGTTTTACTCTGTCGCTTAAGCTGGAGTGCAGTGGCGTATTCTTTGCTCACTGCAACCTTCACCTCCCAGGTTCAAGTGATTCTCCTGCCTCAGCCTCCCAAGTAGCTGGGACTGCAGGTGCGTGCCACCATACCTGGCTAATTTTTGTATTTTTAGTAGAGATGGGGTTTCACTATATTGGCCAGGCTGGTCTCGAACTCCTGACCTCGTGATCCTCTCTTCTCGGCCTCCCAAAGTGGTGGGATTACAGGCATGATCCACCGTGCCCAGCCTATTTTATATTTTTATGTCTGTCTGCCTATTGAATTTATGAAAGTATCATCTTCTCTTCCCCTGAAGATGGTTAGTTCTTCGAGGATAGGAAAGTTTTATTAAATAAAATAAAATATTTTGTCATCTATAAATACAAAACAGCTGAATGCTACTCACCTTAGTCTGCGGAGTAGCTGCAACTACGGGTGCGTGGCCATCACACCCAGGTAGTTAACATTTTTTGTTTGTTTGTTTTAGAGATGGGGGATCTCACTGTGTTACCCAGGTTGGTCTTGAACTCCTGGGCTCGAGTGATCCTCCCACCTCAGCCTGCCAAAGTGTTGGGATTACAGGTGTGAACCATAGTGCCTGGCCCATAGTATTTTTTTTAAAGTATAATCTCCTTTTTTTGTTTTTTGTTTTTTTTTTTTCCTTGAAAATAGTTTTTCTTCAGTCCTGAGGAGTCAGCTCCTTACATGGGCCTTGGTGGAGTTCATGGGCCAGTACTTGAAGGTCTAAATTTGGCTGGGGATGTTAACACCTTTTGGGCTTGGGGAGATTGATTCCTGACTACCTTGCTGTGAATGGCACAACTCACGTAGTAATGCGGTTTTACATACAGCTTAGGAGGCACATAAACATCGAAGAAATTTATTAGAAATGTCATTGACAGCTGCAGCCTTTACTATGTTTTGAATGAGAAACTTCTTTTTATTTTTGTTTTTTTGAGATGGGGTCCTGCTCTGTCACCCAGGTTGGAGTGCAGTGGCATGATCTCGGCTCACTGCAACCTTTACCCCCTGGGCTCAAGTGATTCTCATGCCTCAGCTTCCTGAGCAGCTGGGATTACAGGTGTACACCACCACGCCTGGCTAATTTTTATATTTTTAGTAGAGACAGAGTTTCTCCGTGTTGGCTGGTCTTGAACTCTTGACCTTAAGCGATCCATCTGCCTCAGCCTCCCAAAGTGCTGGGATTACGTACAGGCATGAGCCACGGCGCCCAGCCTTGAATGAAAAACTTCTTAATAGCTCTGTCCTTGGGCATGCATCGGGCACAGTTCATGCAGTGAATGGGCTGCCCATAGCCACAGCCCTTTTTTGGCATGCCATATTCCTTCTTTTCTTTGTCTTCTTGGAAGCTGGAACCCTAGAGAGGAAAGGTCTTTTGTTGTTGTTGTTGTTGTTTGTTTTTTTAAATGTGTTTGTTGAATGATTTGAGTAGGAACACTCTAATGCCTCCAATGAAGTTATAAAGTTAATACAAAGTTCAGAATTTCAGGTCTTGGAGTTATCAGTGGGTACTACTTTGTCTCAGGGCTGCTATAAATTATTCTTTGTTATCTCCCTGAAGTGCCCCATCCTCTGTTGCACATCACAGAGTAATGTGTTTTGGGATAGTATAAGGAATGTAGGGTTATAATGGCACTTAACGTAGGAAAGTTCGTACTGTCTAAACCATAGAGTTTGTGGTTGAAGTGGTTTATGTGATCTGCTTGAGTTAGGATGCTGCTTGTGATAAGGTTAGCAGATAAGGGGATAAGGTGTGACTATATACCAATCCACAGACTTTAAGCAGCGTTTTCCACAAATAGTAAAGGATTTGTCAAATTCCCTCTTTCTTTTCTTTGTCTCTTTTGTGGTGTTGTAGTTTGGGGCAATTTATATGAATTCTTTTAGCTTTAGGGTTTTTATTTGAAAATACCCTTACAAGGTAGTAAATATGATATTAATATGTGAAGAGCATATAAATGTTTTAATTAAAATAATAACTCAGTTATAAATTTGCTAGACATCTATTGTGAACATATCACTATGCTAGTTATCCAACTCCAAGAGCAGCACATTGTCTAAGAAATATGACTGGTTCAAGCTTAAAATTGGGTGAGTTTGAGGATTGGGTTGGATTGATTCCATGGCTGTTCTCTCATTCTTTTCCACTGTGGTAACAGAGCTGAATCCAGCACAGGACTAAGGCCGAGAGGTTCAGTTGTCTATTCTAAGCAGTTTGACATTTTGTATCCTACCATGTGTGAACTCTGAAACTGAATGTCGTTTGTTCTAAGGCAGTCAGTGAGAGAGTTTCTGTCTGCTCTTCAGCTTCGTGAAAGTAATTTTAATATTTGGGAGAAAACTATGGAAATGCAACTTTATATTGAGGGCTTTAATCTGATGTCTGTGAAAAGAAATGGGTCACCAAGGCAGCTGAAGTTCCTTCACATAGCATATCCACCTTTGAGAACTTTTATTCCTGTTTTACAACTAAGTTGATGGTTCACAGAAATAAAAGTAATTTTATTCATTCTTTTATTCTCCTATAGGATTTTAATGCCTTTTTTTTTCTTTTTCTTTGGGACGGAGTTTCGCTCTTGTTACCCAGGCTGGAGTGCAATGGCGCGATCTCGGCTCACTGCAACCTCCGCCTCCTGGGTTCAGGCAATTCTCCTGCCTCAGCCTCCTGAGTAGCTGGGATTACAGGCACGCGCCACCATGCCCAGCTGATTTTTGTATTTTTAGTAGAGACGAGGTTTCACCATGTTGACCAGGATGGTCTCGATCTCTTGACCTCGTGATCCACCTGCCTCGGCCTCAGACAGTGCTGGGATTACAGGCTTGAGCCACCGCGCCCCGCCGATTTTAATGCTTTTTAAAAGGACTTAGCAAAAAAAAAAATTTAATGAAAAAAAGTAGGGCCGGGTGCGGTGGCTCAAGCCTGTAATCCTAGCACTTTGGGAGGCCGAGGCAGGTGGGTCACGAGGTCAAGAGATCGAGACCATCCTGGTCAACATGGTGAAACCCCGTCTCTACTAAAAATACAAAAAATTAGCTGGGCATGGTGGCACGTGCCTGTAATCCCAGCTACTCAGGAGGCTGAGGCAGCAGAATTGCCTGAACCCAGGA